CCCCTGAGTGACCCCGAGTGACCCCTGAGTGACCCCTGAGTGACCCCTGAGTGACCCTGAGTGACCCCTGAGTGACCCTGAGTAACCCCTGAGTGACCCCCGAGTGACCCCTGAGTAACCCCTGAGTAACCCCTGGAGTAACCCCGGAGCAACCCCAGAGTAACCCCTGAGTAACCCCTGGGTGACCCCTGAGTGACCCCGAGTGACCCCCCGGACCCCCCGACCCCCCCGGACCCACCAGCTGGGGGAGGGGCTGTCCCTGGGGGGGTCCCGGGGGGATTTGGGGGAGGTCGAAGATCCTCAGGGCGTTGTCGTTGCTGCAGGTGAGGACGCAGGAGCCGTCGGGGGCCCTGGGGGGGACACGGGGACCCCAAATTTGGGACCCCCCCCAGATGTTTGGGACCCCCCAGGTGTTGGGGACCCCAATTTTGGGACCCCCCAGGTGTTGGGGACCCCAATTTTCACCCCTGGAGACCCCAAAACTCCCCCCAGGTGTTGGGGACCCCAATTTTGGGACCCCCAGGGCTTTGAGACCCCAATTTTGGGACCCCCCAGGTGTTGGGGACCCCAATTTTCACCCCCTGGAGACCCCAAAACTCCCCCCAGGTGTTGGGGACCCCAACTTTGGGACCCCCCAGGGCTTTGAGACCCCAATTTTGGGACCCCCCAGGGGTTTGGCACCCCAAATTTCACCCCCTGGAGACCCCAAAACTCCCCCCAGGGATTTGGGACCCCAATTTTGGGACCCCCCAGAGCTTTGAGACCCCAAATTTTGCCCCCCCCAGGTGTGGGAACCCCAACTGTGGGACCCCCCAGGGCTTTGAAACCCCAATTTTGGGACCCCCCAGGGGTTTGGCACCCCAAATTTCACCCCCTGGAGACCCCAAACCTCCCCCCCGAGGGGTTTTTGGGGTGATTTAGGGAGATTTTGGGGGGTTTTTGGGTTTTGGGGAGGGGTCTCTCACCATTTGCAGCCCCTCAGGAAATTTTCGGGGCGCCGGGCGAATTCTTCCCGAGCCCCCCAAAGTTGGAGGGGGGGGCGGCTCAAATCGTAGGGGGGGAAACTGAGGAAGGGAGGGGGGAGGGGGGGGG